GATTGGGTGATGTCTGCAGCAAATGTCACAGGAGGCTGTCCTGGATCCTTAAATTATTCCCTAGCTCCTTATAAACACTGGATTTATCCTGGAAATCTCCCTGGTCGGTGCCTTCTCCGTGCCTTGGGAAGAGCCACCTCTTCCTGAGCTTGGATTTGGGGGTTCAGAGGAGCTTCCCCAAAAAGGGAAGGCTGGGGGAATTGGGATTGTTCAGCTCAGGGAGGAGAAGCTTTGGGGTTGGCCTGGCTGTGACCCCAAAGAGCCAACAAAAGGTGGAAAGACTTTGGACAAGGGATGGAGGGACAGGACACAGGGAATGGCTTGGGTTGGATGGGATGGTGGGAAGGAATTCCTTCCCAGGAGGGTGGGGAGGGGCTGGGATGGATCCCTGGGAGTGCCCAAGGCCACAGGTCCAGGGGGAGCTGTCCCTGCCCAGGGCAGGGGGTGGGACTGGATGGTCCCTGAGGTCCCCAAACCATCCCAGGATTCCGAGATCCACAATTTAAAGCGAGGCATGGAGAGAAGAAAACTTGCTTTCCCCCCAAAATAAACACAACTTGCACCCCTGCCCAGTTCCCTGCTGCACTGGGACAACTGGAACCTTCACACTGCTCCCCATAAGTGTTTCCTGGGGGCTCCATCCACAGCTCCTGTCTATTAATTAATTAATTCATCTCCTGCCTTGCTCCTTCCAGCGCCCTCACTAAGTGCAGGTAGAATTCCATCCCCCTTTAATGGGAAGAGCCTTTAGATCCCCCTTTGGAGTGTCCTTCCCAGCCTTCCAGGGGAGGGTTCTTCCCTCCAGTGCTCGCTGGCAGCTGGTTGATGCCTCCCCTTGGTCTCATCCACGTCTGGTTTTGTGCCCTCACAAACACTTTGGAGCATTCCCTGGCAGGGAAGGCAGCCCTGGGTTTGTTGCTGATGTTTTTGGCATTTTATTGGCTTCCTCCTTGGCCCTCTGGAACCCTCCCCTGGGGCTGGGAATTGCCCTGGGCAGATGTGCTCGTGCCTGAGCTGCCTCAGTGTTGGCTCCAAAACAACCTCTGTGGTCCCAGCTGAGCAGGGTCAGGTTAAACACCACCCCCCTGGTGGGATTCCAGTGGGTTTTCCACAGGGAAAGGCCCCATCCTGCCCTCTGGAGCAGTCCTTGGTGGTGGTGTTCAAACAGAGGGGTTAGAAACCACGTTTAGGGAATTTTGCAGCCCCTCAGAGAGCTGGTTTTTGCTGCCTCTTGTGTGGCCACAGGTGGGAAGGGTCTGTCATCCCTCGTGTTTTCCCAGTGTTAAACCCATGGAGTGTTAGACTGATCCCACCAAAAAGGGAGGATTTTAGGGGAGTTGGGAACAGGCAGGTTTCCCGTGTGGAGGATTTGGGGTGAGCCCCAAAAACCCAACGTGTTTGTAGCAAACATGTTGATTCTCTTCCCTCGCCTGGCTGCTGGATTGAGGGTTCTTCCTGCTCTTCCCACAGACCCCCAGGAGCTCTGTTTTCCCCAAAAAGCTCGGAGATGTACCTATTTCTGGCAGGGCTGGCAAATAAATCCATGTTTTTTTGTGGATGAGGGAACAGAGGGAGCAGTTGTGGTGTAATTAAGCAGGCTGGTAATGGCAACGCTTCCAGCTTTAACAGAGAGCTTGGGAGCAGTTTCCTCAGGCAGGGATTTGACTTTCCCACCAGTAAAATGTTTGTTTTCTCCTGTGAGCTGAAACCCGACGCTCTGGAAAACCTGGCAGGTTTTCCAGGCAGGTGGATTCTGGGGGAGGGCTTTGCCTTCCCACAAACCTTTGCAGAACCCCGGGGTTCGTTTGGCACCAAAAACAGGGAACCGACCCACGGGATATGTGGGATCAGGGGGTGGGAAAAGCCCTGCACTGGCCGCGGGTGCACACGGGGAGGTGCTGGAGAGCCGGGAATTGTGTGGGAAGGCTCCGGGCACTGCGGGAAGGGAGAGCCCTGAGCACAGTGCTGGAGCCCGGCCCCGTGTGTGGCTGCCACGGCTCAACTCTTGTTTCTTTTGGGGTCTTTTTTTTTTTTTAGGTTTTTGTACGAGCCAAACAGCAAAGGCTACAAGTATTACAGGCAGAAGCTGGAGGAGTTCCGGAAGGCCAAGGCCAGCCCTGGCTGTGCCCCTTTCCCTGGAGAGCCCAGCCTGAAAAGGAAAACCAGCCCCGAGGCCTCGCCCTCCCCTCTGTGCTTCCCCTCCCTGCCCCTGCCCCTTCCCTCCCCGCTGCCTCTGCCCCTCCCCATGCCCGTCCCTTCCCCTCTGCCCCTTCCCCTGCCCGTCCCCTCCCCTCTGCCCGTGCCCTTGGCAGTGCCCCCAGCCCTCCCCGTGCCCTCCTCCCCCTCACCATCCTCCTCCTCCACAACCCCCCCTGAGCAGACAACCCCGAACCCGACCCCAAACCCGGCCCCAAACCCGACCACCCCCACGGCCACTCCGGGCACCACCAAGAAGAAGCGGAAGAGCCGGTGGGGGCCGGAGGAGGACAAGGTGGAGCTGCCCCTGCCACAGCTGGTGCAGCAGCTGGACTCTCCCTCCCCTCTCTCAGGTCAGTGGGGCCGGGGGATGCTCCTGGATTTACCCTCCTTGTCCCTCTGCCCGAGCTCTGGGTGTGGGGGCAGTTCTCTCCTGGTGGATCTCCTTGGTTGCCAGCTCTTCCCTGGGGGCGATCCCAGATAACCCACCTCGCCTTCCCGGCACCAGGGCTTGGATCCCATCTTTTCCCATCATTCCCCTGCTGTCTGGAAGCCCTGCTGTGCTCTCACAGCCACTGCTTGGGGCTGTTCCACTCCCAGGAACCAGCTGTCAGAGCTCATTCCCTGGGATGGGATGGATGGAATCCCTGGGCAGCACTTCCACCCCTTGCTGCTGACTGGGAATGGCTGTTCCCTGGGATGGGATCCCTGGGATGGAATCCCTGGAAGCACTTCCACCCCTCACTACTCACTGGGAATGGCTGTTCCCTGGGTGGGGCTGGACTCGAGCAGAACTTGGGGTTTTGACCTGTTTTGGCTCGTTTGAGGCTCACAGGCCTCACCCAGCTCGTGCTGCTCCACCTGCCCAAGTCCATTCCCACTCTTTCCAAGTGCTGGAATATCATCCCTCCAGCTGAGGCACTTCTGGGGAGCTCTGGAGGCTCAGCTCCACCTGGGCGTGTGCAGAGCAGTAATTGGGTGCTTGGGGAGGGCACAGAACCAGTCACAGGTGAACACAGACACTTCCAAAGGCATCTTTGCCCAATTAGCCTGGAATGGGAAGGCAGATGGGAGAAGAAAGGGAAGCCATGAGGCAAATTGAGAGGATTGATGGCCCCAGGGTGGAGCCACAGGAAGAGCAAGAAGGACCTCTTGAAAGAGCAGTAGCAGAACTGCTGGAGTGGGACAAGGGATGGGAAAAGCTCTAATTTTCAGATAATTTGCGGTTCGTTTCTCCAGCGAGTCCCTGGCACTGCTCCTGGGGCTGGAACTGCTGCTCAGCATTAATCCTGGGATCAGGCTGGCTGGGCTCTGCTGCCCTGGGCCTGCTCAGGGAGGAGGAAGGAGGGATCCTGCCCCTTATCCAGCACTCCCAAAGCAGGTGGAGGGGAGTTCCTGGTGACTGTGCCCTCTGATCACAGCCCTGCACAGAAACCCTGGCTGTGCCTCTCCCACTGTGGAGTCACTGGCCTGGGATTGCTGCTCCTTGCAGGGCAGGAATCACATGCAGAAATCTCTCCTGGTGGTTGTATTTCCAGTAATTTTCCCTCTCAGACGTGGCTGAAGCTGAGCAGGGGCTCTCAGAGCTGCAGTGGGGGGGGCTGCAGGGGTATCCATGTGCTGGAATTCCCCTGGCTCCCTCAGCCCCCCCCTGATGGGACAGGGACGTGCTCCTGGTGCTGCTGCTGCCTTTGCTCAGGGCTTTGTGTCAGGCAGGAGAAAAGGACAGCAGCCACTTTGCCAGGCAGAACAAATCAGCCCTTAGTGCTCTGCAGGGGGAAGGATTAATTCCTGCTATCAGTTCAGCTGGACTAATCCCTTTTGGAATTAACAGCCTCGACCTGACAGGTGAAGGGAGCTGCAAATTGCTGCTCCTGTGGAAGGGGAGAGCTGCTCTGGTACCTAAATGTCCGTGTCTTAGTCCTTTATCCTTAGCAATTGTTTGGGATTTGGGGGAGGATTCTCTTCCTGTCCTCCCTCGGTGATAAATCAGGAGGGTGGAGAGGAGAAAGTGTGGCCCTTTCTGGAGAGAGAGAGAGAGACAAGGCTCCTCTTCAATATATTGATACCCAAACACTTCCCTGGCTCCCTGCAGGGGCTGAGGGATCCCAAAAGCTGAGCCAGAGATGTGTGATTGGTGAACTCTGGGGGTCAGTGACAAATCACAGACTGTCACTGGAACCTCCTGAAACCCGGCTTTGGGTCTGATTAGCCTGGATTAAGATCTCCAGGCTGGGAAGGAGGGAAGCACTCTGAGCTGGGGTTTCTCCTGCTGTCCTCCAAGGACGTTGTTCCCTTCTCCTGTAACAAGCTGCTGCTCCTCAGGCATCTGGGAGAGGGATAAAGCTTCGGGTGCTGCTCTGCCAACGCTGCAGACACACTGCACCATTAACCCCGTGGGCAAAGCTGATGTCACTCCAGGCAAAAAAAGCGATTTTTTTCCCCCAAACCCTGCTGAACCTGAGGCTGAGCAGCAACCCCTCGTCTTCTGCACAGTGTTTACCTGGTGCCAGAAAGCTTGGGGAGCTTATAAACCTTATCTATTTCCATGCAAATTCCTTGGTGCTGTTTATGGACACTTTTCCATCTGCAGACGGAGCTCGGGGTGGAGCTTTTCCCTTTTTTTTTTTTTTTTTTCTCCCAACTTTGCCCATCGTGATCCTTTGGGCCAAGGCCACAAAAAAAAAAAAAACCACCTCCCAGGGCTGAATTCCTGCAGTCAGACAGCCCAAGGGGGTGGTTTTGGGAAGGGGAGGAGTGGCAGGATCTCATTCCTGGGAAGGGAAGGAGCAGTGGGATCTCATTCCTGGCAAGGGGAGGAGGATGCTCAGCCTCACCTTTAAGGTTTGCTGGGAAGGCACTGGAGCCTCTGGAGCTCCCAGCTGGGTGTTCCTGCAGCTCACAGGGAGCTGCTGTGACCTCTGTGAAGGGCAGAGCTTTCCTTGGAGCACTCAGGGAGAGCTTTCCCGTGCCCTGAGCCGGGGGGTGATACCAGAGTGCCCACACATCACATGTGGGGCCAGATCCTTTCCCTGGATCAGCCCTGGTGTGTCCATTAAACCCATTCCCTGCTCCCCCAGGCAGGAACCAGGCTGGCTATCAGCGAGAAATAGGTTTATTCTCCTGTTTGCTCCCGTTTCCTGGGAGCTGACAGTGCACTTCCCAGCGCCACACTCCATCCCCTGCTCCTGGAAAACCTCTTTATGTAAGGAGGGGCGAGTGTGCAGGGCCTGGAGCTTGGGAGGGGGGAGTTCAGGAACTCCTGGAGTTCAGGAAACCTCCTGGAGATCTGTGGGGAAGGGGAGGGGGCTCAGAGTGCTCAGAGGGAGGGAGACACCGACCCCCCCCCCCCACGGGGCAGTGAACAACGATCCTCTTCTAATTGGGGCTTCATAATTAATAGATCGTGAATAATGAATGAAGCATCGCTTAACTGGAGGCTGGCCCCAGCTCACACACACACACAGGGGGCTTGGCAGGTCGTTAGGAAGAAGAAATCCTTCCCCTTGTATTGAAAAATGCAGCTCTGAGGCTTCTTTTAAACCTTTAAATATTTTAACCGGTGGCATCTGAGCTCGGAGGTGCTTTGGAGAGGAGCTGCCAGCCCTGCTGGAGATACATGAACCAAGTTTGCAAGGCAATCTCTCCTGGAAATCTCTTTTTTTTGCAGCCCCAGCAGTGTTTTTATTACTTCCCTTCACGCTGCAGCTCTTTATAAATAGGATTCCTTTCCTTTCCCCCCTCCTCTCTTCCCTTTAACTTGCCCTCTGAACCCGGTATGGTCACCTCAAATCACTGAGTGCCCTGCCCAGGTAATGAGAAGATCTAATTTCGGGGGTTCAGCTGATGAAACAGCAGAAATAATTCCAAAGGGGGAGCTTCCAACGGGAGATGCTGCAGGGAAAAGGTGCCCCTCTTTGGGAGCAGGGGTGACATCCCTGGGGGTGCTGCTGCTGAGCCTGGACATGGACACTGAAACCTCCCTGGGGGATGGAACCTTCCAAGGGCAGGATAATGTGGGAATTTTGTCCTGATGTGGGAATTTTGTTCTGATGTGGGAATTTTGTCCTGATGTGGGAATTTCGTTCTGATGTGGGAATTTGCTTTTCATCTGGGGAGGAGCTGCTGTTGGGAGTCCTGGGCTCGTGGCTCCACTTGGATGATGAATTATCACTTTTTGGGATGGTTGGGGTTCACCAAGAACCTTCTGAGGAGAAGGATCTTAAGGAGAAGGGATTTTTAAAGCAGATTTCCACACACTGTGACCCTCCTGGGAGTCTCCCAACACCTCTGGGTAGAGCTGTGGGCCAGGGGGAGGGAGGCAAAGGAGCTGCTGCCCAGTGACTTCCCTGCTCCTGTGATTCCCAAATCCCTCTGGATCGAGCCTCTCCAATGCTGGAACCATGAAATGAGTGTAAAAACTTGGGAACACCCCCATCCCTGGGTGACCTGCTCTGGTGGGAGCTGTCCCAGCCCGGGGCAGGGGGTGGCACTGGGTGATCCTTTGGGTCCCTTCCAGCCCAAACCAGGCTTTGGGATTTGCTCTCCCTGGTCTCTCGGGTCTCTAACGAGCCTTTTAACCCCTGTTTGTCACAGTTCAGGACCTGAAGGGCCTTGGCTACGAGAAGGGGAAGCCCGTGGGGCTGGTGGGGGTCACTGAGCTCTCCGAGGCCCAGAAGAAGCAGCTGAAGGAGCAGCAGGAGGTGAAGCCCCGAAACGGTTCCCAAAATTCGTGGGAGGTGGAGGGGAGAGCAAAAAGAAACCTTTTGCAGCAGCCACAGATAAATCTGTGGGATTTGTGCTGGATGCCTGGGAAGCACGGGATGCTGCAGTCAGCAGGAACAGCCCTGGGGCTTTGGGGAATAAGGGTGGAAGCAGCCAATTGCTGCCCTCCCCACCTAAACCCAAAATCTATAAGGTCTGTGGTGTCACAGCTGCAGCTGGATCAGAGCTGCTCAGCAGTGGAAGGGAGGGGGAAATGAGGGGATTCCTGCAGGATTGGGGGGGGATGGGAGCAGAACTGGCTCTTGGGGATGCTCAGGGGAACAGTGGGAACATCCCGGGGCTCTGCTGGAGGAACCAGCCCAGGAATGTGCTGTCTGAGGGGAGGGGGAGCAGCAGCTCTGCCCTGGGGGATGTGGGGCTGCCCTGGGTTGTGTTTTGGGGAGCAGGGCAGGGCTCTGAGCAGGGCAGGGTTCTGAGCAGAGCAGGGCTCTGAGCAGGGCAGGGTTCTGAGCAGGGCAGGGCTCTGAGCAGGGCAGGGCTCAGGACAGGGCTCTGGGCAGGGCTCTGAGCAGGACAGGGCAGGGCTTTGGGCAGGGCTTTGGGCAGGGCAGGGCTCTGAGCTCTCGGTGCCCCCGCAGATGCAGCAGATGTACGACATGATCATGAAGCACAAACGGGCCATGCAGGAGATGCAGCTGATGTGGGAAAAGGCCATCCAGCAGCACCAGCACGGCTACGACAGCGACGAGGAGGTGGACAGCGAGCTGGGCACCTGGGAGCACCAGCTGAGGCGCATGGAGATGGACAAGACACGAGGTGGGTGGGTCAGGACCTTCCCTGGGGAGAGCTCCAGCTTCCCACGGCAGGATCGGGAGCTGCAGGGTCACCTTTCCCTGAGTGGGGGTGACAAATGTCCATCCCTGTGCTCCACAGCCCCCCTGGAACCCCAAAGAACACCCTGCTATCCCTGTTTCCTCTCGTCTCTTGGCAGAGTGGGCCGAGCAGCTGACCCAGATGGGCAGAGGGAAACATTTCATCGGGGATTTCCTCCCGCCCGATGAGCTGGAGAAGTTCATGGAGACCTTCAAGGCGCTGAAGGTGACACAGCAGAGACTTCCTGGGGTGGTGGCAGCACTTCTAAGGCCGGGTTGGAGAAGGGAAGGCTCCAGGGAGACCTTGGAGCCCCTTCCAGTGCCTGAAGGGGCTCTGGGAGAGCTGGAGAGGGATGTGAGACAAGGGCAAGATTAGATGGGATAGTGGGAAGAAATCCTTCCCTGTGAGGGTGGGGAGGCCCTGGAATGGATTTCCCAGAGGATTCCCCATCCCTGGAAGTGTCCAAGGCCAGGTTGGAGCACCCCTGCTCCAGTGGAAGGTGTCCCTGCCCCTGGCAGGAGGTGGAACTGGGTGGGCTTTAAGGTCCCTCCCAACCCAAACCATTCCACAATCTGACAGTTTTTGGGGGGCTCTGGAATTCCAGACAAAAGCTCTCAGACCACCCTCCTGCAGTTCCTGTTTGGGATAAGTGGCTGCTGATGCCAAGCCAAGGGAAATTTGAATTTTTATCCAGATGATTGCAGCAAAGTGGAAATACAAAGCCTGCAAAGAACTTATGCAAAGCACTCCAGTACCTGCCAATTCTTCCCAAAGCCCAGAACTCTTTGATGTTGGCACATCCCTCCCCGTTTCCCTGCATCCCTGGAGGGTTCAGGCTTCAATAAGAACTGGATCTGCAACTTCATCCATCGAGCAGCTTAAAATTCAGGAGCTAATTGTTCCCCAGCCTGATATCCCAGCAGCTCCGGGCAGGGCCTGATTCCCTCCCCTGTGCTGCTCCAGAGCCAGAATCCCAGGGAATCCCAGGGGTTGTTGGCCAAAACCAGCCTGGCTTTGGGTGCCTGGAGCTGCTTTACCCCCCCTCCAGAGTGGGAAATGACCCCCAGGAAAACTGAGGCTCCCTCTGTGCCCCTGCAGGAGGGCCGGGAGCCGGATTACTCGGAGTACAAGGAGTTCAAGCTGACCGTGGAGAACATTGGCTACCAGATGCTCATGAAGATGGGCTGGAAGGAAGGAGAGGGGCTGGGATCAGAGGGGCAGGGCATCAAGAACCCAGTCAGCAAGTAAGCACAGCTCTGCTCTCCTCTCCTCCTGTCCCTTCCCTCCTTCCCTCCCCGGGGTCGGTGCTCCTGCCCTGGGATGCATCTCGTGGGGATTCTTGGGCACAGGAGGGAATTCCTGCTTTTTTCTGGGCTCTCTTTCCCCCCACAGAACCTGGCTTTGCTGCTGGAGCTGTGGGCTGAGCCCACAGAGGCTGTGTTCCCCATCCCAGCCTGCACAGGGAGGTGCCTCCCCCAGCTGGAAAGAGAACAGAACACCTTTTATAAAGATAACACTTGTCTGCACCTCCCTTCCCTCCAGGGTTAAGTCTTTAAAGGCATAAATTTCCTGAGGTATTAAAGAGCAGTGGCAGACCCAGCCAGAGCTCTGTGTGAGGGGTCTCAACCCAACTCAGAGCTCTGTGGGGTCCTGACAAACCTTGACACTGCTCTTTGTGCCCAGAAATGTCCTGGTTTGATCACACTCTGTGTGTTACACAGCTCTGGGAGTGGCAGAGTGTCTCTTTTTGGGTGGATTCATCTGCTGGTGACATATGTTGGGCTTCAAAGCTGAACACTGGGGAGGGGGAACACTCCTTGAGTTGGTTTTTAGGGATGGATCCCAGTGGGAATAAGTTCCCTGTTTGCTGCACGGTAGGAAATGTCTGTGCAAAGCTCTGGGGATGTGGTTGTTGGTTCAGAGGTGTTGCCTGGGGTAAAAGGTGGGAAAATCCAGGCTCAGATTCCTGGAGGGAAGGCAGGATGTGACCGTGGACCATCTCAGAGTTTTTGGGGAGGGAAGGAATTGATCCCGCTGGAGTGACAAAGCAGGAGGCAGGAATGTGGCTTCCCCATCCCTGCCCCTCCAGGGAGGGAGTTTTTCCTGCTCCTGCTCTCTGTGGGCATTCCTGCTTCCCTGTGACAACAGGAGACCTCCTGGATCTGGGCAGGGGATCCGGGAATGTGGCAGCGCCCGGAGCGGCTCCGTGTGGGATGAACCCCACGGCAGCAGGATGAAATCCCACAGCAGCAGGATGAATCCCACAGCAGCAGGCTGTTCCTGGGGGAAGGAGCTCTCTCTCACCTGCTTCCCTCCCTTCCCCCTTCCCACCCAGGGGAACCACGGCCGTGGATGGGGCTGGATTCGGGATCGACCGCCCTGCTGAGCTCACCAAGGAGGACGACGAGTACGAGGCCTTCCGCAAGAGGATGATGTTGGCCTATCGCTTCCGACCCAACCCCCTGGTGAGGGGGCACCCAAACTGGGGATGGGAGAGAGCCAGGGGCTGCCAGGGACCAGGGGCAGGGGTGGGAGAGAGCCAGGGGTGAGGGAGAGACCTGGGATAGACCAGGGACAGGGCTGGGAGAGATCCAGGGGTGAGGGAGAGACCAGGAATGGGGCTGGGATAGATCCAGGGGAGAAGGAGAGACCAGGGACAGGGCTGGGAGAGACCAGGAATAGGACTGGGAGAGATCCAGGGGTGAGAGAGAGACCAGGGATAGGGCTGGGAGAGACCAGAAACAGGGCTGGGAGAGATCCAGGGAGCAGGGATAGACCAGGGACAGGGCTGGGAGAGATCCAGGGGGCAGGGAGAGTCCCAAAACCAGGACAGGAATAGGGACAGATCCACTGGTGGGGGAGAGTGCAGGGAACAGGGAAAGGACAGGGAGAGATCCACTGGTGAGGGAGGGTCCCAAAATCAGGGCAGGGACAGGGACAGGGACACCTTTTGAGCTGTAATTTCGGGGCAAAGCTCAGGTTTGCAGCGCAGAAATGACACATTTTCAGCGGCTTTTTTGGGGGCGGTCGGGCTCAGCTGCTGGGCAGAAACCCCCAATTGTGATGGTTTTTCTCCTCCTGCTTCCCCACAGAACAACCCACGGCGACCTTATTACTGAGGAGGCTCCAGGGACGGGCTCTGGGAGAACAGTTTTGCTCCCTGACTGTGAAATGTTATGGAACCGCTTCATCCATCCCTTCTTTCCCGGTATTGTCCCAACTCCCCGAGGCCACAGCACCCCCCTCATCCCAGGGGAAAGGCCTGGGAGCCCTCCCAGGTGCCCGCACAGGGGACAAGGACGGGGGTTTTCGGGGAGGGAACGTGGCAGGGCAGCACCAAAGATCCCACAGGAGGAGTTCAGGGGACTCCCCGTCCGTGCTCCCGCCTTCCCAAGGAGCGTGGGGGTGGTTTTTTTGGGATAACAGCTGGTCTTTCATTGTCCAGACTCGAAGCTTGTGCTGCTCTGGGGTTGTTTTTTGTTCTCCCCCTGGATTTTATGTTTAAATTTCCCACCCAAGGGATTGTGTCCCCCCACCCAGAGCAGGGTCAGGACGTTGTTCTGACGGTGCCAGAGGTCTGACCTCCAGCTGACATTGCACCCCAGTGCCTCTGTTTTCCCTCTGCATGGGGTGGATCATGGATTCCAGGATTTTAAAGGGGGTGCAGAGTGAGTTTACTCCACCCCAGGAGTCCCAACCCCCTCGTTTTCTGAGCACTACCAGAGACTTTGCCAACAACACACCTCCCATGCTCTGGAGGGGGAGGAAGAGGAACCAAACCCTCAACCACAGTTTGTCAAAGGCCATTAATTTGGGTTTTGTTGTCATTTAAAAGAAAAAACACAAAAAAACCAAAACGAACCTCTGAAATAACGAATTTTCTTCGTCGAGTCTGTAAATAAAATAAAACTTGTTTGTTCCTTATTTTTAATGGGAGGATTTTCGGGAAGAGAGGGGCTCCTGTGGGTTTTCTCAGGTCGGGAGGTTGCTCTGGAGTTCTTTCTTCCAAGGATTTTGGGGAAAACCACGTTGGAGTGGGTTGATTTGGTTCCTTCTCTGAACACTTTGGGGGGTGATTGTGTTTGACTTCCCTCCAGTCGAGGACTTGGCTCTCAATAAAAACACCCCAAGTGGTCCATTCAGTGGGTTCAAGGGGGTTTTATTCAGAGAGAATCCAAGGTGTGGGAGCCTGGAGCTGGGCCTGGTTCCAGTCAGGAATTTGGGAAGATTGGGAAATCCAGGTGGGAAATCTGCCAGGCATTGAGGTCACTGTGCCAACCTGGGGGGGCTGGGACACCCCTGTGCCCTGTCCCCTCCCTATTCCTGCCTGGCACAAACTGGTTTTCCAGGGTGACCGGAGGCTGGAGAAACCCCAGGGCTCTCCTGGGCTTTCTGTGGGAGCCTGGAGGTGTTTGCAGAACCACTTTCATTCCAAGTGTCCTCAGCACAGCAGGATTCTGGCACCAGGAGTGTGGAATCACTGGGAATTCCTGCTGTTCCTGGTGGGCATTTAAAGCTGACTGGACACTTCAGCCAGCCCCGTGCATCCCATGGATGTCCCGTTGGCAAAAGTGGTTTGATTCCTTTATTTCCCCAGCCCTGCTGAGCCCCCTCTCCCCATCCCTGCAGGGAGAGTTCGGTGTTTGGGAGGAGCTGAAGGTGATTGCAGCAAAACACCTCCAACTGCCCACTTTGACCCCTTTTCTCATCCTCACCGCGGGCTGTTGTGCTGCTCTTTGTGCCTTTTTCCTGCGCTGCTGGGTGGTTTCTTCAGCCCAAGCCCCGAGTCTGAACCTCCTCTGCTCCCGGGCGTGTTCCCTGCTGGAATTCCCGGGTCATTCCCCTCTCCCTGTGCTGTCCCAGCTCCTCCCCGGGGGAACCGGCACCGAGCCCGGGGCAAAGTGCAGGTTCAGCCCCCGGACTGTGGGGCACGAGGGCGCAGCAGTGACCCGGTGACACGTTCGGTGACAGTTTTATGAGGGAGGGGAAAGGTTGAGCGACCGCCTCGGGGTGGGGGGGGGTTGGAGCTGGTAAAAGTGCTCCGGGAGGTTTTCCCTCTGTTCCCAGCTCGGCGCGGCTGTGCCGGGGCTCCCCCAGCGCTGCCGGGGGGTCAGTGGTGGGGTGTGAGCAGAGGAGGGGGCCGGGGCAGCGCAGAGACCTCGGGGCTGCAGCTCCTGCTCCCGCTCCTGCTCCCTCGTTCCGGGCGGGGATGAAGCGCTGCCTCTCATCAGCTCCGCTCCCTCTCTTCCCCCTCCCGCAGCTCTGAGCAGCCGCCGCGTCCTCTCGGCTCTTTTTTTTTAAGAGTTCCAGGATGAATTGGAAAAGCGAAAAAGAAAAAAAAAAAGAAACCCACACACAAACCCACCCCCAACAAAACGCCGAAACCTGCAGTTCTGAAGCTTTCAGAGCCCCCTCGGAGTGGTTTTCTCCTTCCCCGCAGCCCTTGGAGCTGTTTCTCCAGGCAGCCCTTGAGTGCAGAGGCAGCGACCCCCGCACGGAGCCGCGCGCGCTCAACCGGGGGGGTTCCCCTCCTCAGGACCCTCCGTCCTTCCCCCAGGACCTCTGTCCTCCCCCCGGGACTCTCATCCTTCCCCCTGAACCCCCCAGTCCCAAAGCCCTGTCCTTCCACCTGGGACCCCTTGTCCTTTCTTCCCCCCCAGGACCCCCCATCCTTCCTCTGGGACCCTGTCCTTCCCTCCAGACCCTCTGTCCTTCCCCCTGTCACCCCGTCCTTCTCCAGCCCCCCTGTCCTTCTCCAGCCCCCCTGTCCTTCCCCAGCCCCCCCGTCCTCCCCCTGTCCCCCCCTCCCCGGTCCCCGCTGTCCCCCCGGGGCGGCTCTGGCTCTTTAAGGGCGCTGCCCGGGCTCGGTCCCCGCCGTCGGGGCGAAGTCCGCGGGCTCCGTTGCGGCGGCGGGGCCGGGGATGCAGCTCCCGGCGGGGCCGGGCGCCCTGGCCGCCCCCCTGCTCTCCATCCCCGTGGCCTTCGGCATCACCGGCGCCACCGCCCTGGCGGAGTGAGTGCGGACCCCCGGGGACCCCCGGGCTCGGGGTTTTGGGGTCCTGCTCGGGGAGGGGTGACGGGACCAGTCCGGGAGCGGGGGGAGAGTCCGGGCTGCCCCGGGACACGGCTCCGTCCAGGGCTGGGGGGATCCAATCCCACCCGGGACAGGGGGCCCGTCCCGGGGTCCCACCCGGACCTGGAGAACAGGGAGCGTGTCCTGGGTGGGGGGCTGGAGCTATCCCGGGACAGGGGGGCCATCCCGGATCGCGGGGTCCACCCCGGACAGGGGGCTGGGCCTGTCTGAGATCTGGGGGGGTCCTGTCTGAGACAGGGGGCTGGATCGGGGCTGGATCTGTCCTGGATGGGGGCTCAGTCCCGGGGGGATTTCCCGGCGTGTTCCGTGGCTGCCTCGCTGCCTTTCCAACCCCGCTCGGGCTGGCCGGGCCCGGTGGGGCTCTTTGGGGAGCAGAACGCGGCTCCTCGCCCCCCAGACCCCCTGGAATTGGGGTGATCCCGACTTTGGAGACCCCTCCACACCCCACTCCCCTCCCGGAGCCTCCCCGCTGCCTCCTCGGCCGCTGACGTGTCCCAGCGCGGCCGATGTCACCCCCCCGCACCCTCCCGGTCACCGCCGCTGTCACAACGACCGAGAACGGCCCCGCTTTCGGTTTTCCTGCCCGGAGACACCCCCGTGAGCCCGGCCGGGCATCCAGGGCGTATGGAACCGGCTCCCTGGGGATCCAGGAGCTCCACCATCCCTTCCTCACCCACTTTATTCCTTTTCCGTGCAAACTCTGACTGGTTCATTCTCCTCTAATTTCCAGTCCCAGCCCCCGGGACCCTCCAGCTCAGGGCTTTCCCCTTGTGTTCCTTCATCCCTTTCTCCCCTTTCTCCCCTTCCCTTCCCACCAGGCCCCTTCACCCTCCTTTTCCCATTCCTTAGATATTTATTTCCACCAGCAGGAAGAACTTTTAACCCAATTCCTCACCACAGAGCCGGGGGCTCTCCTGGTCACCCTCTGAAGCTCTCCCCATTTTAATTCCCAAACTTTTCCATCTCCTCCTATCCCTGCTGCAGCCCAGATCTCCGGGATCCATCCCTGGGCATCCTGCAGCTGGAGGAGCCCCCGTGCCGTGCTGCTCCACGGCGTTTGAACCCTGAATTAATCATTCCGTGGGAGTAATTAGTTGTGTAGTAATTAATTATACAGTGGCAATAATGCACCGGGGCGGCGACACTTCGGTGATTTGATTGGTTTGGGTTTTTTTTCCAAGAGCATCTGGGCTGGTTTGGGTGTTTCAGGAAGGTTTTGATGTTGATTTTTTTTTGGGGGGGGGGGGGGGGGGACACTGAGCCCTACTCAGTCACTGTCCCAATTCCTGGCTCTGGGAGAGCAATTCCAGCTGCCCAGGATGGTTTTCCCTACAACTTCTTCTCTCTCTCAGGACACTTTTTCAGTCTCTATCTCTCCTTGATTTTGGTTTATTATGGATTTCCCTGCTCTGGACACAGATTGGAGAGGGGGGGCCCTGCTGGAGCTGCTCCCTGCCCTGGCACAGGAGCCTTGCCAAGGCAGCCCCTTCCCCACCCTGCTGGAATGTCAGGTTCCTCCCTTCCTTTGGGATTCACCCCCCCGGGGTTGTTTCAGACCCCAGAGGAGCCGTTTTCCCCTCTCAGAGTTTGGGCAGCGCCAGGACCCCCCCTGGGGTGCGGGGCCTGATCCTGACCCTAAAGATCGGGGGGGTGAGGAGCATTTCCCGTGGGCAGGGGGGAAATGGGGCTTGGTGCTGGACCCCCCCCCTCTGCTCCACAGCAACCCCCCACTGCTGGTGCTGACGGTGACGCTGGTGCTCCTCGGCCTCTTCTCCATCATCCTCCTCGTCAGCGGCGTGAGCCACTTCCAGGACCCCCTGTTCTGTGGTGAGAGCCCCCCCAGTCTGTGGGGGTTGGTTCTGTGTTGGGGTGGGGGGTGAGGGTTTGGGATTTGGGATCTGGGAGGAGCCCTGAGCCCCTGGCAGAGCTGCCCTGGTTCCCCCCCACACACAGTGTTCGTGGTGCTCTCCTTCGTCTCTGGCGTCGACCTCATCATCGCCCTGGAGGAGGATGGGTTCATCTCTGGCTTCATGGAGGTCTATGTCAGAGAGGTACCACCCCAGCCAACCCCACCCCGGCCCCCTGCTCCCCCTGCCCAGGTGGGGCTGGATGGAACTCTCCCTGCTGGAGCTGCTCCTGCAACACTGGGATCACACACTGGGATCACACACCGGGATCACACACTGGGATCACACACTGGGATCACACACTGGGATCACACACTGAGATCCCACCTGGAGCAGCCCCAACTCCCGTGGAGTGCCCCAGGGAGGGGGTGGGAAGGCAGCTGCCCCCTCCCTGCCTGACCCAGTCCCTCCCCCGTGGGCAGGGCGAGCCCTACCTGCGCACGGCCCATGGGATCATGATCTGTTACTGGGATGGCGTCGTCCACTACGGGCTCTACCTCACCATGGTCGCGGCCATCGGCCACAGGTGAGCGGGGACCCGGGGGCCGGAGGGGCTCGGGGGGCTTGGAGCATCCCAAACTCCATGGGGAAGAAGCCACAAGTCTGGCAGAGGTGCCAGAGGAGCTCAGGGAGGTTGGAGGATCCCAAATTCCATAAGGAGGGAGCCACAAGTCTGGCAGAGGTGCCAGAGGAGCTCAGAGGGGTTGGAGGATCCCAGATTCTGTGGAGAGAGCTCTGAGCCTGGCAGAGGTGCCAGAGGAGCTCAGGGGGCTTGGAGCATCCCAGATTCCATGAGGAGGGAGCACCGAGGTGCCTGTTCCCGGTGTCTCTGCAGGAAGAACTACAGGAACCTGGGGCTCTTCTGGTTGGGCTCGCTGCTGATGAGCGTCGTGGTCTTCCTGCTGGGGAACATGATCGGTACGGGGGGGAGGAGGGGGCTCCGTGCCCACCGCCCGTGTCCGGCGGGTTTGCTGCTCCCCGCGGGCACAGGAGGGAGGTGCCGGTGCTTCCTCCGCGTCCATCCCGCGCCCTCCTCCCCCAGGGAAATACAGCTCCGAGCTCAGCCCCTCCTTCCTGCTCAACCTGCCCTACATCCTCCTCCTCCTCTGGGCCGGGGTGAGGCTGTTCCAGCAGCCCAAGGAGCCGCTGCTCCTCAGCCCCGAGAAGGTGAGCTGGGGCTCCGGGGGGGCTGCCCCGGGTGCCCGGTGCCCCTCCCGGGGCTGGGCCGGGGGGTGCAGAGCCCAAACCGGGGCGTTTCCCTCTCCCAGGTGGCGGAGGAGCAGCGCAAACCCCTGTACCGGCGGCCCCAGGACGCGGCCCTGGTGCTGGTGCTGCTGCTCATGGCCTCGTTCACCTTCTTCAGGGGGATGGTGAGTGCTGGGCCCCCGCACGGGGGGGGGCTGGAGGGGCCGGGGGGGGCTTGGGGAAGGTTCATCCGCCCCCCACCCTCCTCCCCTCCTCTCTCCACCCCCTCAGGTGGTTCTGGACTGTCCTGCCGACTCGTGCTTTGAGTACATCTACCAGCACGAGCCGTACCTGCGCGACCCCGTCGCCTACCCCAAAGTGCAGGTGAGTGGTGGGGGGGGTCCAGCTGGGGCCGGAGACCCCCCCAGGTGGCACCAGGGAGGGGGTGACCTTCTCTCTGTCCCTCCCCAGATGCTGATCTACATGTTCTACGCCCTCCCTTTCTTCCTGCTCTGCATCTACGGGCTGGTGCTGCCCGGCTGCTCCTGGCTGCCCGACTGGAGCCTGGTGTTTGCCGGGGCCGTGGCACAGGTGAGGCCGTGCCAGCGCCCGGGGGGGCAATGCTGGGACCCCCAGGGCTGGGTTTTGGTCCCAACCAGGGGCAGGGGGGGTTGGGGCTGAGCTTGGGGGCTCAGCTTTGCGCCTGCACGTGGAGCAGCAGCTCTGCTGCTGCCTGGTAATTGCTTTGGCCCCGGTGGATTTTGCCGGGCCCGGGGATTCGCTGGCCAGAAATAGGCTGGGCCAGGGCTATAATAGGATGTGCCGCCCCGCGCTGCTGCCACCACACACCCTTTGGGGCCGGGTGGGCCGCACACGACCCTCCCCCTCCCCAGTGCCACCCCTTCCCTGTGTCCCCAGGCTCAGTTCTCCCACCTGGGCTCGTCGCTGCACGCCCGGACCCCCTTCCCCTACCAGACCCCCGACGACGTCCTGTGGAGCTTCCTCCTCTCCAACATCCTCTACGCGCTGGGCCCGCAGCTCCTGGTGCTCCGCTGCCTGCGCTGCCCCGCCTTCTTCCTGCCCCCCGCTCCTGCCGGCCAGCTCCGGGCAAAGAAACACCAGTGACGGGGCCTGCCCGGCCCGGGGGGCTGCTGTGCCCACCCTGGGGGCTGCTCTGCCCACCCTGGGGGCTGCTGTGCCCACCCTGGGGGCTGCTGTTCCTGTTCTGGGGGCTGCTGTGCCCACCCTGGGGGCTGCTGTGCCCACCCTGGGGGCTACTGTCCCCATCCTGGGGGCTGCTGTGCCCACCCTGGGGGCTGCTGTCCCTGTCCTGGGGATTGCTGTGCCCACCCTGAGGGCTGCTCTGCCCGGTGCCCCCCGTCCTGCTCGAAGAGCCACAGAGCAGTGGGACCCAGAGATGTCCCAGAGGGGCTGCCAGAGGTGTCCCCAGGGGTGCTCTG